CCTGGCCGGGGCGAGGGGGCCGGGACGCGGGTCGAGGTCTCTATCGGGGCCGGGTTAGCCCGTCTACTCGGGGCCTGGTCTGGTCTGCGCCCTTACACGTGCTTTCGGGGCGCCTCGTGGAAGTCCTTCGGGTTTTATCCAGGACCGTGGAGACGGCGAGGAACCCAGGTTTGGGATTGGGAGGCAGCGGTCTGTCGGCGGTGCAGAAAGCCAGCCGCACTTGCCCTGCCCCGGCCACGGGGAAGAAAAATGCAGATGCGGGTGCCAGCCACCAGGAGAAAGTCATTGTCACGGCGGGTGGGGACGGGGGACGCTCTTGGCACTACCTGTCCTCCCAGCGACTCCTAAGACGGGCCTCTTTCTCCGGGGTCCTGGCCTTGGAGGGCCCTGCGCTAGGCGTTATCACACTCTCCACCCGCAGCGCTAACAAAAGCGGAGATAATGCTGGTCCGATCACAGCTCTTCCTCAAAGGACTCGCGGAGGGTCGTGGAGGTTTCGCAGGGACCACTGCGTTCAGGAGCCCAGAAATTCTTGCTTCTTTGTCGAGAGTTACATTGTATAACATTTTGACAATCCTAATTAGTTGCGGGAAGGGGGTAGGAGAACCGAAGTTGGTCCCCAATCCATCCATTCCTCGCCGTACTCCTCAAATTGCCCATCAAATAACTTTTCTTCAGATCCAATCTCCCCTCCCACCCCCTTATAAATCTTATCAAATGAGTCTTAGGGGCAGTATCAAAGAAGGCAGCAAGGCTTTGAGCCAGAAAATCCGGGTGGGTCATACTGCTATTACATCAGCAGGTAATAGCCCCCATCCCCCAGTTTTCAACATACTTTCATTTTATGGAGCCCATGCGCCGGCATGCAGAGGAAGTGGTGTATCGGCGATGTAGCCATGGCTAGTTGGCGCCAGGCTGCTCTCCCTGGCTCTTGCTTGGGAAGGAAAAATCTTTCTGCCTTTTGTGATGTCCAGTAGTTTTGACCGAGCTTTGAAAAGGCGCCTCCTGGAAGTACTTCAGGGGTTTTACCCAGGACCAGGGAGACAGCGGCGAGGGGAGGGATCTAGTGCATAACCTTCACCCATCCAACTTTGCTTAGTTCCCCACAACAAGGGACTGGAGAAAGGTCCCACGGAAACTTGTTTAGATAGTAATACTTTAAAAAAATTGAGACATGTGACATATAACATTGTATTTTCGTTGTACCACACAGTGGTTTGATACATGTATATGTTGTGAAATAATTACTACAATAAGTTTGGTTAACACCCATGATTACGATTTTTAAAATTAATAGCTTTATAGATGTGTAACTACAACAGAGACGAAGTTTTTATTTCTTCTGAGCCTAACTAGGGTCTTTGCAGGGTCTACTTACCAAGTAAACCAGATTGTAATTTGTAGTCATGATTTTTAATGTTCATAATCATGATCTTAAAGTAGACAAATGACCCTGAATTGCTCTGACTGTCCCAGAAAATTGAAATTATGGTCAATATAGGTTTGATGTCAATTTCACTTAAAATTTATTTGGAAATTATATGATAAATATTACGTTTCTTAAATTAATATTCAGTTAATTACAGTATCTCTATTCTGAAAAGTAGTAAACATGTGAATTACTTATATTTATGTGAATCACTCATCTCCCTAAAGGCAATGGATTGGTAGAGGTAGGGTTTGTTGGAAGAATTTGGCTTAGAGTTAACATTTAAACTTCTAAATTATTTTAGAGAATGTGGACTTACTTTTGGAAAACAAGTGTATGAATCTTCTATGAGAAAATTTCAGAGTTTTTTAAATGAAGAAAAGAATACATTTTAGATTTGCCTATTTCTGAGGGCATAATCTTAGCTATGAATTATTGCCACAAAATATGTCTTACTTGAAAACAAAAGAAGAGTTTAAAATTTGACTTCCATTCTTTTCACCAACCTTAAGTGAGAGAAAAAGGAATGACATCATCTGAGGCCGGCAACATCTCACTGTGGTGTCTGACATATTAAATGTTTGTATTTGCTAATAAGATAATATTTGCCTCATCCAAGATACTTTAAAAGAAGATTTCAAAGTAAATGTCTTCGTTCAACTTTTCTTTTTTCTTTTTTTTTTCTTGTTTGAGTCACAGTGTGTTTGTATACATTGTGTGACTGTATGTGTTCCATCTCACGTACAGAATACAGGTGTACATAAAACTAACAGTAAGAGGAATGTTTCACGGGAAACCTACTCAACTTGTCATTCTTGCTGGTTGTAGTTTGGAATGTTGTCAATTTAATTTTGATGTTTTGCATTCTTTTTCAGAGGCTGAAATTGAGTGTGCCCTTCAATTAAGGAGAATTGGAGACAAGCTGAGTTTCCTGCAGAAACTTCTGAATCTGATGTACAAACTCTTCGGCTCAGGAACCTGACTGCTTCAGAAGCATT